ATTGCCCTTTTGAATGCTTTGTGAACAAACCTTATAATTGACTTATTTTAAAGGATTTTCTTGTAGATTTATTTCAAAAATTGGAATCCAAAAACTAGGAAATAGGATCACCCTTCATCTAGGTATGAGACTGGAGTAAAATGGAAATGAGTAAATCAAGTAGTGCATTGGAGTCTTGGGCTGAAAATTCGGTAAAGTGATCATAATTTAACTCTACCTTTTCCATCTTTGACAATAGGTTAAATGACTGGATGCAAATATGGCAGATGAAGCAATACCAAGGAACAGGAGATAAATAGAATATTTTTTACATGGAGAGGGATTGCAGAACTCTATAGTACAGACAGATCAGGTTGTCCTAGTACATGAATCACAAAATACAGATGGTGAGGAAGGCAAATGAAATATAGATCACTGCAAAGGAAATGTAATATAAAATAGGGAAGTTTTTGCTATAGTTGTAAAGAATTAAGTGAGACCATATCTGGACTGCAATATATAGAGTGGTCACCTTACTTAAGATCAGAAGTCACACAATGACAGGTTATACTCAAACTTCACACGATGAAGGAGCAGGGCACCAAAAGCCTGTAATTTCACATAAACCTGTTGGACTATAACCTGGTGTTGCCATCATAATTAAGGATATCTTAAAATATAATTGGCAATGGTAGTTTTTCACTGACTCTGAGGTCGGGCTCTAGTGGCTCAATGGTAGTGTCCTTTGGACAAGAATTGTTCACTGCAAACTACCCAGCCTTCAGGGCAACATCGATCAAAAGACTATATAACCCTTTCATGGCAACCTCTGCAAGACATGTCAGATCATTGACATGGATACTACATCACATGTGGGAACACCACCCACCACATGCACAGCTGACACTCATGTGACTCAGCCACCATTTTCTATCTCATACGCTGCAGGCAAGAATGCCCCGAGGTATGGTATATTGGCGAAACCATGTAGATGCTGTGACAATGGATGAATGGACATCACGCAACAATCGCCAGACAAGGATGTTCCCTCCCAGTGGAGGAACACTTTAGCAGCCAAGGACATTCAGCCTTAGATCTTCAGGTAAACGTCCTCCAAGGTGGACATCAGGATCCACAACAATGCAGAGTCACTGAGCAGAGGCTGATTGCCAAGTTTGGTACCCATGAGGATGGCCTCAACTGGGATCTTGGGTTCATGTCACACTACAGGTGACCTCACCATACTTTACACACACACACAAACATGTATAGATATATGGGGTGAATTTGCATTTGCGGATATGTAATTGCAGATACATTCTATTTTGTTCAAAAAGTGCACAATTTGCAGACAGTCAGTGTAACATTTTATAAATTCTTACTTCAGCAATACAACCAGTCTGACTCCAAGTTGATACACAGCCAGATTCTAAACACACCTAGAATGCATTGTCTGACCTGAGGTGTCATCTCTGGTATACTGATAAAACATTTAGTTATCTCGGGGCAATGACTTGAAATAAATTCTTGGATTTACATATTAATCCTTTCTAATTGATTAAAGATTTGACAGCCATATTAGGTTTGTTTAATACATTCACATCAGTTCTATGACCCTTTGATCATTTGCTTCCACATTCTGTGTCTGATACCACCTCTCTCATTGAGACCTGAAGAAGGAGCAAGACTCCAAAAGCTTGTTTCTTCAAATAACCTGGTGTTGTGTGATTTTTGACTTTGGGAAGGTGGTATGGGTACAAATCCCACCTACTCCAAAGTATCTCAAAACCTATCTGCAACTGCATTGGGACCATGGCAGAGAAAGTTCACATTTCTGATTCCTGAGCTGAAAAAAGTTTGGTTTGGAATTATGTTCGGCATGGATTGGTTGGGCTGAAGGGTCTATTTCCATGATGTATGACTCTATTACTCTATTAAAAGCTTGTCTGATGAGAATTGATTGGGCCTCCAGTTAATAGAATGAGAGGTGAAACAATAAGATGGGACTCGAGAAGGTGAATACTGAATGCATGTTTTCCCTTCTGGGTGTGCTAGAACTGGGAAACAACATTTTAAAATTATGGACCTCCTATTTAAGACAGAGATGAGGAGCGTTTTCTTTTCTCTCAGATGTTTATTATTGTCTGGAATTCTTACTCAGAAACAGGCTGACTGAATATTTTTGAGTTTCTGAGTTTCCTGTCTCATAAGAGTGTCAAAGGTTCAAACAGAAAAGAAGACACCACAATCAGATCTGCCATGATCTTTTTGAATGTTGGAGCAGGCAGAATGGGACCAATTAGCCTAATTCTTCTCCTAATTCTTATGTTAATTTGCGCTTAACATTTTTAGTTACCTCATGCTTCTTTTTAATGGACATTTGCAGAATAGTTTATTCCTCCACATCCCGCACTGTCAGTCCTCCATTGTCAAATCTTGTTGGTGAATGCACTGAGCTGTTAATAAAATATTCAGCCATCCAATCTAGGCCCTCAACTCATGACTGTGCTCAGTTTTTGGGACTATTTGGCATCCTACAGAGACAACACTTCAACTGATGTCCTATCCATGTAGACCTTCAGTCAGTTTTTCTTCCATGGCGGGCTTCAAGCATGAGCAGAATCTTATTTTTAGACAATAGTTTCATACACATGAGCAGAGCAGGCTTTGCTCAAACACAGATACACATTTAACGCACTTCGCACTAGAGATCATGAGCTAGTAATTCGAAAAGAGAAACTCAGTTTGATTTTTTTTTTCTTCAAATTTATTGGACAATGAATTGGGAGTTGAGGATAACACTTCTCCTCACCACACCCCACCCCAAATTGCCAATCAGACTCAAAAGCCGACCAACAACTCATGAGTAAAGAGCTTTCTTGGATTGGATGACTGAATAAACTGTTAACAACTCAGTGTATTCACAAACAAGAACTGCCAAAAAATGCTGATTGCAGCTCTTTGAAATAAGCTTAACACCCAGTCATGACAATGGGCCAAGACACAAACAATGGTCAAACATCCCCATGAACACAGTGACTTCAAAACCATTGCTATTGCTACAAAAGCCTTCTGCGACCACTGACAGCAACCACCAAACAGTACCACCATTCTCTCTTCCTTGGATCACTATCTTACACAAAATTTACACTTCCCTAATGTGATTATGCAATATTCCCAGCCACTGCCTCACCTTTTAACAACATGAAATTGTGGTTATAATCTGTAATAATATTTGTGTGCTGTCTAAAAGTAATGCAAATGAGGCACATGCATTCTATTACAAACACAAAGAATGCTGAAGAAGCTCAGCAGGTCTGCCAGTATCTGTTACAGTTTGAGTCTCAGCATGGCTCTTCTTCAGAACATGGATTCTGTTGGAGATCTCTCGTGGCTTTCCTTACAACTAAACTAATGCTTACAGTTGAGTAATCTCCAAACACAGCCTCTGCCTCACATGCTACAGTACAGACAGCCTTTAGCCATGTGACAATATCTGGATACTTGGCTCATTTGCATGTTAATCCCTTTAAGAGACATCACTCTAAATGTAACAAAAAGTGCTCTTCAGTAATGCTGTGGAACACAATTCAGAAAGATCATGATCACTTGTTTAACATAAGATTTACATTTTTTGTAAATCTAGAAACTTTAGAGCCCTTACAATCGCAGGAGGTGTTAATTTTACATCAAAGCATATTCTTTGAACAAATTCACATGAGTTGACATGCTTGATGTTACCCTGTATTTTTTTCCACAAGCTGAGCTAATCCCTCAAAAACTCAATTCTTTGGTCTTAAGTCCTACTTTTAGCCACAAAACTTGCTTGTTGAAAGATGAGACTTTTTCTGTCCCATTATTTCTCTCCCTGTGAGGGTCAGAAAGAGTGAATTTGGTCCATAGCAACTGTATAAAATTGGCTTAAATCAAATCGACAGAGCTTTTTTCACCACACCCAATCTTCTTTCCACAGCAACTCCAAGAACAATAGATCAATCTTTTCCTGTAGACCTGTTTTCAGGTCTTACTGTCATTTTTGCTTGGTTTGAAATTAAAAATCTTGGCAATATTTTCTAGGTCAATGGAAAATAAGAACTGGTGTGCTGAAATATTGGCTGCTGTTTTGTTCTGAGCCCAGTTTGCACTCTGGCGAGAAGATCAGATCCACAACCCCTTCCAATCAGATTCTGCAACTATCTAATTTTTATTCTCCATAGTAGGTGCAAACAAATGTGGGTTGTTTGATCCACAGAAAAGCAAGATGTACGTGATAAGCGTTCAGACAACAGACAAAAAAAAAACATTGTTGGAGCAGAAAGGCATAATGCATACATAAATAAGCCTCTGCAGAGGAGGAACAGTGAGAATAATTGTCATAAGCTAAAAAGGAGCACATCCAGTGAAACAATCATGAGACAAAGAATATTTTCAAGTAAGGAACCTTTATCGTTTGCATATTTAGATTATAGTTAATCATAGTTTTAATATAATAGAATATTTTGTCCATAATTGATCTTTTCATAGCTAAAGGAGTAGGATTTCAACATGAACTATGAAGTTTTGTTTATTTTCTGGAAGGGGTCACTGCATTATACAGCCACACAATGGTGCCATTTTTAATTTGAAACAATTTTTAGAAGCTCATCTGAGTGAGGACAAGTCAAAAATGAAAAGAAAAAGCACTTGCACTTTGTGTTTCTACAGAAAATATATTGCTGCTCATTCGTAAATGACTGCTCAGACACTCCTGCAAGGTGTCACATATATCACAGTAAACCCCATGAGAGATTTCTTACTCTGTATCTACTGTGTTATTTTGCATTTTAATAGGATTTATAAATCATGATGGATTAATGTTACTTTGATTCTTTTGTTCAGCTGTCCTGTCTAAGCTTCAAGAAATAATTAAGAGCTAGATTTACAAAATAACATCAATCTTACCCTTACTTCTTTTTTTAATTTAAGATTTGTCCAATTAAAAGAATTAATTAGCTTGTTTTAGCACCCTACATGTACAGTACCTTGTAGTTGTTGTTGCTGCTGAGCATCGTAGATCCTCAGTCCAAATAATGGTGGCCTTTCTTTTCGAAGTAATGAAACATTCCTTGATGTTAAATCCAATTGAAAAATTGTTCCATTTGTATACTCAGTCCAGAAAATTAATTTTCCATAATGTGACAATCCAAAAGGGTGATTCACTTCTTTGCCACCATATACTATCTGTAATATGTGTAAAAGCATTAAAAACAAATAACATTAAACTTGATAGAAAAAGAAAATACATCCAAAACTCAGTGGATAAAGTGTTTTAAATACATTTTGCAAAATTGATTATTGGTGTTCCTAATGTTTTGTCTGAAATACCTATGGTCGTCTGATTATTTAATATAATCCAGCATTGATTGTAATATTCTCTTGAACATATATGACAAATTCAGGACAGAAATTAGGCTGCTTAACTATGGGTGCAATGCAGAGAGCGATTGTGAAGCAGGGTGCAGAGTTCAGTCTGTGTGCTTGAATTTTAGAAAAAGTGCTGAAGCCTGAGGCACCTCTGGAATTGGGCTTTGGGCATCATTTCCAACAGATAACAAACTGTGGAGAACAGGGCAGCTCATGAACGAAGGCACTTTGATGTTTGCGCCTCATCCACAGTTACAGAAAGGTGGGTGATTTCAGTTGGAGGGTGGGTGACTAATGGTTAGGGTAGGTGAAAGCATCAGTGATGGAGGAGGGGCAATCAGTGATTGAGGGTGTGGAAGTAGGGGGTGGCTGTGGTTGACACCTTTTTTTAAATGTGAGAGTCATTAAAAATTCTGCTACTAATTTGATGAAACATACCTCCTTGATGTCATCCTACAAGATGACATTTAAGACCTGCATGTTCATCACAAAATTAGATGTGGCTTTCCTGAGTATATCTACTGGCAGTGGTGCGAGCTAATCTGCAGGGTTTGTTAGTTCAGTTGGTTGGATGGCTGGTTAGTGATTCGCAATACCATGATTTCAACTCCTATCCCAGCTGAGATCAATATTGTACCTCACTTGAAGCGAGGTGACACTCTAGATAAACACACCATCAGTGGTCACTATCTAATGAGGAAAGTGGGCTATGGTAACTTTCATTTATAGATTGGAGTTAACATAAGTGAAGGAAATAATGACTGCTTCAGCTTTCTGCACTGCACACTGTGTTTTTCAGCATTATGAATGTGTTTGGTGGTACACTTCCAGCATGTAATGAGTTACTGCCCAATACACTGGAGGGTGGATTGGCCTTTTAGCATCCAAATAAAGGGCACTGCGTAGTTAAATTGCTAGGCAATGGTGTTTATAGTTAACGAGCCTCTTTTCTGTTCATTTGATTTAGTTTGTGCAGAATTCCATGAAAATAACTGTTGAACAAGTGAGTTCCTATCACTTGTTTAATTTTAGGGGACAGATTTTGATTTTTTGTTTGAAGTTTTGTTCTCTTAATTGTAATTTTTTTTAAAATTTGGGTCTTAGTGCCATGAATTACATATATGTTTTCAATGGTACAAAAAAAGTACACTCACCATTCTATCTGTGCCATTTAAAAAAATCCTTTCAATGTGATCATAGTACGCATCACACCAATACAGTATTCCATTGATGTAGTCTAGGGTTAAACCATTAGGCCATAGCATCATTGTTGTCACAAACAACTGTCGATTGGAACCATCCATCCACGCTTTCTCAATTCTTCCTGTCATGTTGTCTATTTCTTCCTCTTCCCAATCTGTCCAGTACATCCATCTGCATACAAAGCAGTAACACACATTACATTTTCATTGTGAAAAATACAATAAGTTATATTTGATAAAATCTCTGTGCTGTGCTGTCTGAAATCTTTGACTAACAGTTCTTTTACCACATATCCAGAAAGGAATAGAGTTATGATTATCAGCGTATGTGATATAAAGTCACAGTTATAACTTGCACATTATCTGAAATACTAAGTTGTACAAGACACAGATGATACAGCATATTACATTTAAAATAATATACAGAAAGAGCAAAGGTACATTATAGTGATACCCCAAAGAATATTCCTAAATTTAAAAATAACTAATCTTACACATGTTCAAGTTTGTTCTTTCTTTGGTGTCTACTATCAAAAAATTGCTTAGGCTAAGTATAGGTTGTTGAGTCTAGTAAACATACAAATATAGGTATATTCATTTTGATTTAACAAATATTTTAGGTTAATGAATGAAACCTTTAGCTATTAATAAAAGAGGTTTCCTGAAAATTATATTCTTTGACTATTGAAATCTAACGGTCAAAAATGCTACAGTTTAAGTTTAACAATTATATCCTGTGAATTTTATGTTAGATCTATAAATGATATGTTTTCTTTACACTTAAATAGTCAACATTTTTGACTGAGTTAAAGACTGTATGGTCCCAAAAAATGTGACTAAGCTGAATGATGATAAAACATGCTGAAGCATGCTAAATAAAGTCAGCTTAAAATTTTCTCAATGCAGCTGGGATCAGTATCTGGCATGACAGTATAGATCTCTCCTTATATGCATCACGCGCATGAATCAAGTACTGTCTCCTGAGGGACTGTAATGGGGCTAGCAATACTGACAGCAATACTCTTGCAATCCTTTGAGAACCACTTCTCTGCTGTTGATACCGTATAATACATGTACAACCATGTACATTTATTCAATGCACATGCTTCAAACTACTATTTCAGAAGTAAAGACACAGGGTTGGATTTTCCAAAGATTGGCCAGGTAATAATGGGTCATGATACTATTGTTTACATATTACGACTTGCATAATTTGAGTTTAATTTTGTGTATTCATTTTTTCCATTTTTTCCCCCATTCCTAATAGCTCTAAAGAAGTTGCTTGCTGATGAACCACTGTCTTTAATTGCTGCAGCCCTTGAAATATAGAAATTCCCTCAGTAATTAGAGATGTATTAGTGTCCAAATCTCAGAAAAATAAGATATCTTCAAAACACTTGGATGACATCATGACCATGCTCCAGTGTAAAAATTCTCTATCTTACTTTCTGTGCCTTCACTTGGTATTCAACCTGCCAGTCAGTTAGGTAATCAATTACTTGTGCAAAATGATAGTAATATCATTTTTAAAACTTCATTCGGGGATAAGGGCATCACTGGTATTTATTGCCCATCCCGGAGGGAAGTTAAGAGTCAACTACATTGCTTAGGGTCTGGAGTCACATGTAGGCCATATGAGACAATGGTTTCATTGTCATCATTAGACTCTTGATTCCAGATTTTTATTGAAATCAAATGCCTCCATGGTGGGATTTGAACCCTTGTCCCCATAATATTTCCTGGGTCTCTGGATTAACAATCCAGCAATATTATCACTCGGCCATCACCTCCCCTCTTGAGCATATAACGGATTGTGTACATATTGTAGACATCTTGTGAGACAATATGGTGTGCATAACGTCACCAGATGTATGGAGTACCACTGGCTACAAGGACATCTTCTAAACATGTTTCTTCCTGATTTGGAACTGTGAGACAATATGGTGTGCGTAGTTAGTTGTTAATAAATTTTCAGATATCTGACTCAATACAACCCAACTCCCTGTATTATATATTATGTAGGCTAGCATATAGAAAACAATAAAGCACATTAGGTAGGAAGAAAATTCCAGGATTTTAATGCAGGGTCAATGAAGGAACAGCAGTACAGTTCCAAATCAGGAAGAAATATGTTTTGGAGATGTCCTTGCAGCTGGTGGTACTCCATACATCTGGTGAATTATCCTTCAAGATTTTGTTGATGACATTGTGGTGATGAGAGCACCAGTCTTTATCAATTAGGTAAGAGCTTTACTGAGGCCCTGCTCAAATGTATCAGATAGAATCTCTAGAGTCAAGCACGAAATTCTTCAGAACACTACGTGAGTAGATGTTGTGATTGGAAATCTGTTCATTTTTTAAAATTCATTCACGGGATGAGGGCGTCACTGGCTAGGCAGCATTTATTGCCCATCCCTAATTGCTAAGAGGGCAGTTAAGAGTCAACCACATTGCTGTGTGTCTGGAGTCACATGTGAGCCAGACCAGGTAAGGGTGGCAGATTCCTTCCCTAAAGAACATTTGTGAACCAGATGGGTTTTTCCAACAATCAACAATGGATTCACGGTCATCATCAGACTCTTAATTCCAGATATTTATTAAATTCAAATTCCACCATCTGCCATGGCAGGATTTGAACCCAGGTCCCCAGAACATTATCTGAGTCTCTGAATTAACAGTCCAGTGATAATGCCATTAAGCCATCACCTCCCCCATCATAATCCACCTTGTTAAAAAAATTGGTGTGATTTAAAGAAAAAGAACAGAAACCAGGCCCCATTGAGTTCTGCTCAATTTTCCAGTCTCAGTTGAACCTCGACCCAGACTGCAACTCCAGGTATACCATTCCAAAGAGTTTCATATATTACAACTTCTAAGCATTTTCTTAGACAGTTTTGTCAGATTGTTTCCCTCTCTCCTGGGGAAATGCAAATAGATTTACAATGGCTGTGTGCTGTGGGTCCACATGTTAATCTATTTCTCAAATTTTCTTGGAAGAAAAGCTAACCCAGATAGCAACAAAAATAAATTCTAACTTGCCATTGAACCTATTCAATGTAGAGGAGCAGATAAAATCACGGAGATGCTTATGACAGACCAGTTAAGGTGTTTTGAGTTTGTTGATAATTAAAGACATTGCTACATTTTTTATAACAGAGCTAACATCTTTAAATCAGGCATTGGTTTCTGGGACATAAAAATAAGTAACTGGTGCAGGAAGCAGCAGGCACACCCACTTGGTAGTGACTTTTGTGCTACTCAAACTATATTAATAGATATACACTGAAACCAGATATGCAACCTGTCTCATATACATTAATGTGTTACATATCAAGGCAGGAAGACATTATGAAATGAAGCTGAAGAATTTTCTATGGAAGTACATTAATCATTAGTAGTTGAAAAAGTCCATTTTATGATTTACAATACCTATATCTCACATTGCTGAAATATCATTTAATTTTTTCTTCAAACTAGATCCTCATAAACTTGAGTTTGTTTGCTTTTTTTAATGGAACAAGTGACTATAAAGGCCATGATTGGAAATTTTTTGGCACAGTATTTTTTTTTGGTTAAAAATCAGTGAAAAGCAGGTATTGTTATATCTAATATATACTGACAAGTGGAATTTGTTTACTTAGCTGACATACTCATGGGACAACTTGAGAAGAAATTGATTTTATTTTGTAACTCATCCATCTTAAATTTTCTGTTCTGATGAAATGCTGAGAGAAGACATTTTGCTTAATGGATACCCTAAACAGTAAAGAATTATGACATCTGATTAAAATTAATGAGGACTCAAACTTTACCTTAAGATTACTTTCATCAGTTCCTAAACAACATTGGTTTCTGTCCTGCTGTTTTTTTTTCTTGGAAAAGTAAACAATGCAGATATATTTGTTGATATGCAAAGTAATTTTACAATGGGTATTTTGATTGACATCTAATTCTGCAGTCCACACATCAGACAGAAGCAACATGAATCTCGAGTACGAAGTGTACATCATTATTAGCATTCCGTGGGCCAACAATGCACCTTTGTCATCTGCAAAATAGACTCACAGTTCTTGGGATTTTGTTGATTTTAACACAGGTGTTCAATTCAATGTTGCTGTTTTGGTAAATAGGTGATTATTATAAAACTTTAAAATATTTACAGATTTTAAAAAAAAGTCAAACGTGATTATTCTATTCAATTATGTGGCTTGTGTAGTGACACAAGATCAACACCCTTGAAATGAATATCAACAGATTTTATTCAACTAAGAAGATAGAAAGAGAGGACATCTTGTTTGAAACTTGACAGATTTAGGCTCCAGTTCCAGGTGATTAGATATCACGGCAACATAACTCATTTTCCATATGCTCAGCCACTATACCCAGTCTAAAGGTATAAAACCCCTTTGCTTTGCAACTTGGTGTAATTTGGTGGTTTATTCTATGTAAAAATTATAAGCACCTAAAAGGGTAATTAGAGACATGAAGTCATCGAGATGTACAGCGGAGAAACAGAGCCTTTGGTCCAATTCATCCACGCTGATCAGATAAATCGAGTCCCATTTGCCAGCATTTGGCCCATATCCCTCTAAACCCTTCATCTTCATATACCCATCCAGATGCCTTTTAAATGTTGTAATTGTACCAGCCTGTACCACTTCCTCTGGCAGCTTATTCCATACACATGCCACTCTCTACGTGAAAAAAGTTGCTCCTTAGGTCCAATTTAAATCTTTCCCATCTCACCTTAAACCTATGCTCTCTAGTTTTGGACTCCCCCACCCCAGGGAAAAGAGCTTGTTCATTGACCCTATACATGCCCCTCATGATTTTATAAACCTCTATAAGGTCAGTCCTCAGCCTCTGACACTCCTGGGAAATTAACCCCAACCTAGTCAAACTCTCCCGATAGCTCAAACCCCCCACCCCTCGCAACATTCTTGTATATATATTCTAAACCCTCTCAAGTTTCACAACATCCTTCCTAAAGTAGGGAGACCAGAACTGCACACAATATTCCAAAAGTGGCTTAACCAACATCCTGTACAGCCTCAACATGACCTCCAACTCCTCTAGTCAATGCACTAACCAATAAGGACTATCCTATTTACCTGTGATTCCACTTTCAAGGAACTATGAATCTGTGCTCCAAGGTCCCTTTGTTCAGCAACA